AGAGGCGCTGCGAGTTAAAAAAATACATGTGCTCGATCGAAGTGGAGAATCGTTTCAACGCCCGTTTAACGTCATCGTTTATATTATAAGGACACAAACGTAAGTTTTTTTTGGTTTCGTTTCTTGTTTGTCTAGCCTTTTTCCGTATTTATAGTTGTAAATTTCCTTTGTTTCCTTTAGTTTTCCCGGAAACCGTACAACGTTCGTTCAAGATTGTAAAGTCCATTTCATAATTACAAGTACGCGTGTTCAAGTTTGTGTTGTCGTATCACTGTTGAGCGTGATTTATTAACACATGAAGTAAGGCAGGTTATTATGACTTTCCGTTGAGAACACGTGCTTTGTCACTAAAAGCTACATTTTAAAAACCCATAGAGCCTACATTTCTGAATTTACATATTTTAGAACAAGATGACTGGTGTTAAGTAGTTGTATTTATTCGAACAACATATTTTAGAACAAGATGACTAGTCCAGTAAATTGTATTTATTCGAACAACAACAAAACCTACAACAAAAACAACAACTTACCACTTCCTTCTTCAAAGTCAGAGGTGACAGGAATAGAAACCTAAATGGAGGAGGAAAATTTGCAATATTACGGGTGCGTATGAGATGAATAGAAATGAGGAAATAAAGAAATTTACTAATTAATAAGAAAAAGGAAAAATAATTAAGAAAAAAGGCAGAGGCATAGAAAGGGACTTTAAAGCAACTGAAAAGTAAAGTAATCACAAAATCAAAATAAAAAATTTGCAAGGTCCTGCACCTATTCGACGTTCCTCAGTGTTTTGTTTCTAGTGATTCGTCCTTAATAAGTTTGGTGCCGCCTTAAATGACCTCATTATCTTACTCGGAAACTAGCTTTACTACTCCTAGGAGAAAGAAACCTAAAAATGGAGAACTTGCTAAAATGGCTTCTTTTCATCTTAGTAAGCGGTCTGACCACAGGCAATGCACTTTGGAAGTAAGGTGAGATATTTTTATTGAGAATTTGACTGTATTTTTACTTCCTAAGAGCGGTCGTAATTATTCCAATATAAACTAAAATTTTCGCCATGACTCTTATTTCGCAAGATGATCATCTCACAACTGGAGCTTGGGCTGCCTGTGGTTAAAGCATTGCTAATCCTTTTAATTAATTGTCATCTACTGTAGTAAGGTTGGCATCAGTACTTTATTAGCTCTGGGCTAAAAGTGCATTTAATTAGCAAATCCACAAACCGTAAGATGTCACCTACTTGAGACGCTAATACCATGATAATGTTGCACAAAAGTTCCTGATTTTGGTCGCAAAACTTCACTCCTGGAACACTCTCACTTCCTAAGCAAACTTCACCACCTGTGTAATAAACTTTGTTCTCGTGGAATCTGTTAAAAATGAAATGAATTCAAATGAGGCAAACCTAACGTACACCAGCCGAGTCTTCGTCTAGAAAAGCACACGTTTTGAAATCTTTTCTTACAACCGAAAATGACAGCACATTTAACGAGAGCCCTACTGAATATTTAAAAACGAGCATTTGAAGACAATAAAGCCGAAACAAAACCAACATGTATATCTCCATGGCCCTATTGATTGATAAGAAACCTAGAAAAGCCATGGCGAAAAATGGTTCACTGACAGTTGAACAATGTACAATTTTACAATGGAAGGAATAAATCATTTCTATGTAAAACTAGCATGACGTAACCTAGAAGTATTCAATTAAATCATATGTACTTGATGGGCCAGAAATAAATTGTATTATATTATACTTCACAAACTGCAGGGCATTTTTCTGATCTGTGCCCTGGGGTATGATAGCCTCGGAAAGAGACACCAAAATTTTCTCCTCTCCACAAACTGGTTTAGAAGAGCAGCCTTCGTCTTTGTAGAGTACGACACATTCCGATATTTTCCGTATTACATCATAATACAGTCTTTGAGGATAGCAAAAAAGTTTGAGTTTAAAATGTCCACGAACACCGGTCTCACACAAGCACGTAAAAAATCGGGCATGCTGAGGCCTAGACCTATTGCAAAGTTTTCCTACAAACTCAGTGAAGCCCGAAGTAGATTGTAAAAGTGATCTCATCAACTTGATTGGACGGAATCTATCGAAAAAGAAAAGGAAAAATCAAACACAGCTCAAGCAATCCAATGGAAACGATTATCAGCCATTGCACAGTAATCTTGAGTATATACTTACTCGAGTGGTCATTTCAATTATTGAATCTATAGTTAACTAAAAGAAATCCATGTATGTATGACTGTACACTAAAATACGTTTGAATTTCCTCTACGTCATGCGTATTATTTTTCAAATAAAGCCGACGAGAAATACTTACCCAGAGAAATGCCTAACTTTAAATTGCACTTTCCCATCTACAAGACGTGGCGGTTCATCTAATTTATCTGTAATGTCTTTCCAGTCATGTGCTTCACATTGTAATATCCTCAGTTCACCGGGACGTAACTCTGCCAACTCTTGTTTTTCTTTACGGAAGGTGAGAGGAATCCTTATTGTTACAGGCGCGATGAGACTAACATTTTGAGAGCCTGAAATGTAAATAACTGGACCGACAAGTCCTCCCTCTCCTTTTAGCTCACTGCTTGGGAATTCTTGTACCTGGATTTAAAAGCAAAACAAGTTGTTGGGCATGTTAAACCACTCCCAGCATAAAGATAATTTGCTTTACATTGTGGAAAGTGAATTTCAGGATGAAATTTTGAAATTATCTAAAATTATAGTACACAATGTAAATGTCCTTTCAAAGTTTTATGTAGTAATATAAGCATTATTATGAAAAAATGTATACACTGGACTTAATATAAAAAGTCTGATTGGTCAAGAGCACTCAATCAATATACAGTAAAGAGTGAAGTTCACATATAACCCAATATCTACCGCAGATATTGCAGTTATCATGTCGAGTTCAACCTCTGCCTAGTTTCCAAGCCCTGACTGTCTGTGAAGTATTCTTAAACTTTTGCAAATTTAAAGAGATGTCTTCTTTCGTAATTTGTTTAAAAGATGTATAATAAAACAATAATTTAATTTGGTTTTTGCATGATGTCATAACTCACCAAATCTTATGTCTGTGTTGTCTTCGGCTTACGCAGATAACTCAGACCTTGGTTTTGCTAATTCATCATGATATCATGCATAACTTCATCCACTAATTGCATTAATTGCAAACCAATACAAACCAATTTACCTGACAGGAATGATTTCAATTTGACATTTATATCGAAGCAAAAGTCTGTTTGTTGCTTAGAATGAGTTTTCCAAAACCTAGTTTTAAAAAGGGAATGCCCAGGATCCATGAGTACACATGGGGACAGTAGTACCACAAATAATTCGAAGTTACCAAAACTGCTGATTATAACTTTGTCACATGTATCTTCACACACATGCAAGCACAAGCCCAACTGTCCTCTATTTTAGCTTAAAGTTGTTAATTAATATCTCTCTTTCCATGAATATTGCCACCAAGTTCATGGAGTGTATGGCAAGTAACTGAGGGTACAGGTTATACTATTGCAACACCTTTGTTTTATCTCCTTGCTTTTGACAATCCCCTCACGCCAATCCTATGACTTTCAAAACTGGAAAATGAAAAAGTTGCAGGACTCATGCATGTATATAATTTTATAGTTCCATGCACCTTGATTGTCACACAGAAATCTTGATAAACAGGAACACAACTCTGAGGAATTTGGACACTGACATCAGGAAGGTCAGGCACAATACAGGTCAATTCCGGGCCTCCTGCAGTACCTCTTGAAAAGGTGAAAGACTTAGGACGCCAGACTGCAGCAAATGAAGAAACTGCTGATTTTGTACAAACAGCTTGTGCAAATGGGAAAAGCCACTTGGGAACTGTTGAAGTTTCTGCATATAAAAATAAATGATTGGAAATGCATCCTTCAGCTGTGTTTTGAAGTCTTCAAACAATAAAGTTACCCCAACAGATGTCATTATGATATTTATGCTTCAAAGAATAAAGTTTGCAACAACATGGTTATTGAGGAAAATTTATATTATAGTGATTAAAATGCATTGGAGACTTCATGTAACATTTGTGCAATAATTACACGTACTGCTTGGATACACCTAAAGGGTAAACGAAAAAAAAGTTCTAAAGTTGGATTTGAAATGCCTATGAAGAAGCAAGAAGTCTACTTTGACATTATGAGTGCAGCAGGTCATGCATTGCAGGGATAGATGTCCGCATCTAAGTCATTGCACACCTACTCCTTCTCCCTTAAGTCAACTGATAAGTTCGGGTTACAAGTTGGGTTTAATTTTGGGTTAGGAGAGGGGGAGCTGCACATTTCTCAAATGCTGACATTGATGCCAGTGAAAAAGGGAGCCTAGGAATATCATGATCATTCATTAAGTTATTCACACCTGTATTTAATAAAAACATAACGTTACCTGATCCATGCCAAGTATTCTCTGTCTTTAATTCCTTCCATTCATTGTTCTCTTGGTCAGTCAGTTGCTTGATAACCACCTCATACCCCTCCAAATATGGGGCACTGTGCATCAAAGATACAGTAAAACTTATTCCTTCAAAACTTTTCTTGTAATCCAGATCTGGTGGGCCATCATGAGATATTTCAATAACACTGCTAACCAATATCTCATCACTGGCAGTGGAGGGGGAGAGGGTCCTGGGGTTCCACAATAAGCATCTACATGTAAATGGCACAGGTTGTTGTACAGCTCCACTGCAAAGTTTGATAGAGGCACCAGCTTCCCTCAGGTGCCATGAGTCTTCCTTACCTCCGATTTTTCCTCTGAAATACAAAGGAAATTAATTATCCAGCATTTTAAGATATTTTTCCCAAGTGGAGTAAGCAATGACAAAGGTATTTAAAATGCAAGTGGCAAACTGGCAGTTTGAAAAACTCATTTAGATATTGACACTTAATTTCAAAACTAGATCTAATAAATGTTATTTTTCTTTATTTTTCTTTTCTTTTCCATTAATTTGCTTTTCCTTGACTCAAATAGCCTCAAGTTATAATCATAAATCAAAACATTTATTTAAATGATTCACTATCATTTTTGATAATAATTAAGTACCCCTTTATTGATGGAAACACTGAAAAAAATGTTGAATACCTGTAGAACATGGTAATTGAACTGGGTGGAGTAAACTTTGTTCTGAAATCATACGCGTGACATCTGAATCAAAGGATTGTGCAGCAGCATTAGACTTGAAATCACCAGTATGATTTCAGACCAAAAGTGCATGGCAAAAGTTCAATTACCACTTCATTACATTTATTTTAAATTTGCAAAATTCAGTTGCTAAATGAATAAAGATTTTTTTTTTAAAGCCGGTACAAATACATGTATGTTATTTATCCAGTACTGAGCTGGTGTGTAAAATGTTATAAAAGTTGTCTTTCTTTTTTTCTGCAATTTGATTGATTTCCTAAAACAATCGGTTAAATCTAATTTGTTGCTGTACTTTCGTGGAGCTTTCTCATTAGCTGGGAAATCGATGCACTTTAGAGCAAAAAATAGTGCATTTTATCAATAAATCGTGCCAATGAGAACCAATCAGATTGCAAGGATCACCAGTGATTTGAGCACGAATGTAATAAATTTTTAATAGCATTACAGTTATTAAGCATGAACTTTATTAACTAAAGATTAAAAAGAAAATAAAATAAAAGAAAGTAACTGTCATTTATAAAGAGGTCCGGAGGGTTGTTCTTTAGTCAGAGCACTTTGTCAAAAGTTGCCATTAGTTAACACCTCCTAGCAACTCCAACCCTGCTCTTTACAATGGTCTGTGCATCCATGAGAAAAAAAAACATGGGAAAGGCAAAAAACTGAGTCATTGCAGAAAAACCCATACCTTTTGATCAAAGTCTTTTCATTGTCTTCAGTGTCTACTGTTGCATCTTCTATATCTGCCAAATCTTTCCTGCCGGTGTAATAAGGTACCTCATCCTCCTCTTTGGCTGGGGAAATTATTATTTTGAGGTGTTTGGTTTCAGTATACAATATAACGGACATTTACTACCACTTAATTCCCAATATCTGTTCAACCAAAATTGTTCAACATGGGGTCTTTCCGCACTAACGAAAAAGTTGTTTATTTAAAACAATTTTTTCGTCATCACTAAATTTTGACAAATTTTGGCCAAGGCCGACAAATCGTGAAACACATCGCCGACAAATTTGTCCCAAGTAAAATCTGGACAAAATTAATTAAATAAGCAAGACCGTGATAAACTTGTCGATTAATTATCGCAAAAGCTACGAACAGCGTGTAGCTGAACTGAAATCAGTTTACTACAGAGGCAAAAATTCTCTTTTGTCGCAAAACTCTGGGATTCTAAAATTTTAAAACGGCTTTGAAAAATCCTAGAAATTGGAGGTGGAATCCTTTGGCAGACTAGGTCGAGCGGTAAGAGAATTTTTCAACTTTGAAATTTATAATGTAGATGTAACACTCAAACAAACTTTTATCCTTTGATTTTGCCAGGACAATTTTAGGCTGGAGTCATGAAAATCGCGAAAGCTCGGATATGCATTGATTAAGAGTATAAGATAAGATTACCGTATGACTCTCCTTCTCCAGCCTTGTCCCCCACTTCTTTTGCAATTTGTAGATGACGCTCACGGTACTCGATTGCCTTAGGAAAGTTGCCTAAGCTATGAAAGGCATTGCCAAGACTTCCATAAGCCCGTCTCTCTCCAGCTTTATCCCCCACTTCTTTTGCTTTTTGTAGATGACGCTCGTGGTAACTGATAGCCTTATGAAAATCGCCTAAGCTATGATAGGCATTGCCAAGATTTCCATAAGCCCGTCCTTCTCCAGCTTTGTCTCCCACTTCTTTTGCAATTTGTAGATCACGCTCGTGGTAACTGATAGCCTTATGAAAATCGCCTAAGCTATGATAGGCATTGCCAAGATTTCCATAAGCCCGTCCTTCTCCAGCTTTGTCTCCCACTTCTTTTGCAATTTGTAGATGACGCTCGTGGTAACTGATAGCCTTATGAAAATCGCCTAAGCCATGATAGGCATTGCCAAGATTTCCATAAGCCCGTCCTTCTCCAGCTTTGTCTCCCACTTCTTTTGCAATTTGTAGATGACGCTCGTGGTAACTGATAGCCTTATGAAAATCGCCTAAGCTATGATAGGCATTGCCAAGATTTCCATAAGCCCGTCCTTCTCCAGCTTTGTCTCCCACTTCTTTTGCAATTTGTAGATGACGCTCGTGGTAACTGATAGCCTTATGAAAATCGCCTAAGCTATGATAGGCATTGCCAAGATTTCCATAAGCCCGTCCTTCTCCAGCTTTGTCTCCCACTTCTTTTGCAATTTGTAGATGACGCTCGTGGTAACTGATAGCCTTATGAAAATCGCCTAAGCTATGATAGGCATTGCCAAGATTTCCATAAGCCCGTCCTTCTCCAGCTTTGTCTCCCACTTCTTTTGCAATTTGTAGATGACGCTCGTGGTAACTGATAGCCTTATGAAAATCGCCTAAGCTATCATAGGCATTGCCAAGATTTCCATAAGCCCCTCCTTCTCCAGCTTTGTCTCCCACTTCTTTTGCAATTTGTAGATGACGCTCGTGGTAACTGATAGCCTTATGAAAATCGCCTAAGCTATGATAGGCATTGCCAAGATTTCCATAAGCCCGTCCTTCTCCAGCTTTGTCTCCCACTTCTTTTGCAATTTGTAGACGACGCTCGTGGTAACTGATAGCCTTATGAAAATCGCCTAAGCTATGATAGGCATTGCCAAGATTTCCATAAGCCCGTCCTTCTCCAGCTTTGTCTCCCACTTCTTTTGCAATTTGTAGATGACGCTCGTGGTAACTGATAGCCTTATGAAAATCGCCTAAGCTATGATAGGCATTGCCAAGATTTCCATAAGCCCGTCCTTCTCCAGCTTTGTCTCCCACTTCTTTTGCAATTTGTAGATGACGCTCGTGGTAACTGATAGCCTTATGAAAATCGCCTAAGCTATGATAGGCATTGCCAAGATTTCCATAAGCCCGTCCTTCTCCAGCTTTGTCTCCCACTTCTTTTGCAATTTGTAGATGACGCTCGTGGTAACTGATAGCCTTATGAAAATCGCCTAAGCTATGATAGGCATTGCCAAGATTTCCATAAGCCCCTCCTTCTCCAGCTTTGTCTCCCACTTCTTTTGCAATTTGTAGATGACGCTCGTGGTAACTGATAGCCTTATGAAAATCGCCTAAGCCATGATAGGCATTGCCAAGATTTCCATAAGCCCGTCCTTCTCCAGCTTTGTCTCCCACTTCTTTTGCAATTTGTAGATGACGCTCGTGGTAACTGATAGCCTTATGAAAATCGCCTAAGCTATGATAGGCATTGCCAAGATTTCCATAAGCCCGTCCTTCTCCAGCTTTGTCTCCCACTTCTTTTGCAATTTGTAGATGACGCTCGTGGTAACTGATAGCCTTATGAAAATCGCCTAAGCTATGATAGGCATTGCCAAGATTTCCATAAGCCCGTCCTTCTCCAGCTTTGTCTCCCACTTCTTTTGCAATTTGTAGATGACGCTCGTGGTAACTGATAGCCTTATGAAAATCGCCTAAGCTATGATAGGCATTGCCAAGATTTCCATAAGCCCGTCCTTCTCCAGCTTTGTCTCCCACTTCTTTTGCAATTTGTAGATGACGCTCGTGGTAACTGATAGCCTTATGAAAATCGCCTAAGCTATGATAGGCATTGCCAAGATTTCCATAAGCCCGTCCTTCTCCAGCTTTGTCTCCCACTTCTTTTGCAATTTGTAGATGACGCTCGTGGTAACTGATAGCCTTATGAAAATCGCCTAAGCTATCATAGGCATTGCCAAGATTTCCATAAGCCCGTCCTTCTCCAGCTTTGTCTCCCACTTCTTTTGCAATTTGTAGATGACGCTCGTGGTAACTGATAGCCTTATGAAAATCGCCTAAGCTATGATAGGCATTGCCAAGATTTCCATAAGCCCGTCCTTCTCCAGCTTTGTCTCCCACTTCTTTTGCAATTTGTAGATGACGCTCGTGGTAACTGATAGCCTTATGAAAATCGCCTAAGCTATGATAGGCATTGCCAAGATTTCCATAAGCCCGTCCTTCTCCAGCTTTGTCTCCCACTTCTTTTGCAATTTGTAGATGACGCTCGTGGTAACTGATAGCCTTATGAAAATCGCCTAAGCTATGATAGGCATTGCCAAGATTTCCATAAGCCCGTCCTTCTCCAGCTTTGTCTCCCACTTCTTTTGCAATTTGTAGATGACGCTCGTGGTAACTGATAGCCTTATGAAAATCGCCTAAAGCTATGATAGGCATTGCCAAGATTTCCATAAGCCCGTCCTTCTCCAGCTTTGTCTCCCACTTCTTTTGCAATTTGTAGATGACGCTCGTGGTAACTGATAGCCTTATGAAAATCGCCTAACTTCCGATAGGCATTGCCAAGATTTCCATAAGCCCGTCCTTCTCCAGCTTTGTCTCCCACTTCTTTTGCAATTTGTAGATGACGCTCGTGGTAACTGATAGCCTTATGAAAATCGCCTAACTTCCGATAGGCATTGCCAAGATTTCCATAAGCCCGTCCTTCTCCAGCTTTGTCTCCCACTTCTTTTGCAATTTGTAGATGACGCTCGTGGTAACTGATAGCCTTATGAAAATCGCCTAACATTTTATAGGCATTGCCAAGATTTCCATAAGCCCGTCCTTCTCCAGCTTTGTCTCCCACTTCTTTTGCAATTTGTAGACGACGCTCGTGGTAACCGATAGCCTTATGAAAATCGCCTAATCTATTATAGGCATTGCCAAGATTTCCATAAGCCCGTCCTTCTCCAGCTTTGTCTCCCACCAATTTGTAGATGACGCTCTTATGAAAATCGTTTTGCATTTAGCTTTCCACTTTTTTTTCTTATTCAAATATCCGTACAATTGAATGTAAATAATATTTTTATTTAACAAATGGCCAAATTGATTGGAAACTAACGAAATGTAGATGTTGCTCGATGGATTGCACTAAGTTTGACCTTGGATGAATTTTATTGCAAATGCTCTTCCGGTCCTTGCCCACAGTTTATTACTAAACTATGGAAAAAAAGAAATAATCGTTTCGGGATATCCTTCTCTCCATTTGTTTGAGGCTGGTTTTCACTAATGACGGAGTCGAAGTGGTAAGAGCACTTCTTTTCGAGTGAAAACTGAATATCGGAGTCGACTCCGACTCCGACTCCGTTGTAAAAGAAAACCAGCCTTTGGGTGATGCCTTATCATCGGCCGTTAAGCTTTCTACATAGGAGATTGATATTGAAGTGAAACAATTTATTAAAAAATCACCCGTCGCAGTTTGAGGATAAGTGTTAACAAATGTTTTGTTCCCCCCTCCTTCTGCATTCCTAGAAGCACCATAACCTAAACATAGCCACTGCTGGTAGAGAAGAGAAGGGAGAAGGCAACAAGGTTCTTCTAAATGTTTTAGCATGCCTTTGGCAAAAGTGCTTCACATCACTGATGATTGGAAACAATTAAAAAGTCCCATTTATTGAGCATGACATGCAGAAACTATAGTGGGAAGCCATTGCCTAGGTTCTGCTATATGGTTACCAATGGGCCAATTACTGCCTAGTAAATTTGTTACATCTTTTTGTGGCCTTGTATCTTTATGGGGATGAAGTTATCACTTCAGAGACGTTGATATGAAGACTTAGCCAATTTGTAACTACAGAAGATAGAGAGGCATTGGACAAGTGCCTTGGCGATGATTTTAAACCTAATGATGAAGATGTCTTGGAATTTTTATATTATTCAAGTGTTTTAACCCTTTGCATCCTAACATCAGCATACTTTTTTTCCGTACTGTTCTCTATGCATATCCTATGGTGCTGACAAAGAGAATTTGTTTAACAACCAAGAGCCTCTTTAGTTCGTGATCATTTCCTTTATTCTCATGATCTTAATGTTTGTTTTAGAGGGGATACTGATAGGAGAAAATGGTCACTAATCACTCTTAGAGATCAACTGGTGGAGTCCAATTCTCAAGATATTATGCTCTAAGGAAAACTTTCAGTCCCTCGAGACTAAAGCAAGCCGCCAAATTAATTAACAAGTTATTCAGAGCTGAAGAACCAACTGAAGCAGAACTGACATCCTTTGAACAACTGAAACGGTTTATAGAGTCACTGAATTGCAAATCTTTACCCATATTTCTCTGGATCTGCACTGGTAGTGATGTGATCACTGTACGTACACAACATAGATGTGCACTTTGCTATCCTTGAAGAGTAGCATTGACGTCCTTTTGCCAGAACATGTAGACCATTGCTAGAACTTCCATCTACATATGAATCATACCCAGCACTGCTTGAGGAGTTCACTAATGTAATGAAAGAGGAGCAAGCCTGTTTTGTAGTATTGTTGAGTATGGAAGATGTGAACAATTTGAAATGAACACTCAGAATGCTTTGAAATGAATACTTTGAAATTTGCTTCTTAGTTTTTACAATTTTTTATGTTATGCATAACATTTTCACATTACTGGTATAAGGCTTTTTTTTAACACAGAATACAAGTTACTGTTGATGGCATTTTCTAAACTTTCCGAAAAAAAAAAGAATTAGGTCACAAATTTATATCTATTCAAATGTCATTACAGTTGTCACTGGCAGTTAGTTTGGTTACAAGTTAGAAAGCCTTTCGAGAGGGATGTAAAATATGCAAGTTTCATGACTACAAACTCTAAATTAAAATTTTATCAGCTGATCTCTAATATCACTAAGACTTTAAGTAGTAAGTGTAAGTGGTCATAACATAACAAGATATTAAATTGTCAGCCCCTTGAAATGCGAAAACTCGGGGTAAAAGGTGACATGTCGCTTTTACTACCATTACGTGTCTTCTAGGAGATCAATGCCTGAATTTTAAATTGCACTAAATACTACATTGATTTCAGTGGACTACTTACACCACCAAATAAATGCATCTACAAAAGTGAAAATGGTTCGATGATAAATCAGTGAAAATAACAGCATCCATCAAGATTACATCAAAATTCAGGAGTCATACTTGAAGTTATCATTAAGGGTCAATTATACTGGTGACAGCCGTTAAAAAATGTCATTAATTTCATTTTATACCTCCAGACAAATCGTGAAGCATGAAAATTTTCATCCTCTCTTAGTGTTCAGTGCAATTTTGAAACTATTGAAAAAAAATTATTACCATTTCATTATACAAGCTTCGAACGCAACAGCATAACTTCAGTCTTATTCACTGGTTGATCTTCACAATGTTTTATGTTGTAATTAACACAGCGTCTGCATTAAACTTTCCTATGTGAGGGAGGGATAACAATGATCATGTACAAGTACTTCCATTATCATCAAAGGAAATATCAAAATAATTTTGATTAGACGCTGATAAATGTTAAATTCAATATTGAAACTTTCAATGATCGTCACAGTGTTCAGAAAGTGCTTAATTCCATTGTTTCCATCGTCAGAGAGAGGGTCAATCCTATTGTGTAATTACTGTAAGCTGACTGTGTGACCCTGGCACAATAAACATTGTTTTCTGTTTCAATATCAGTCATAATCACAGTCAACCATCATAATCAATTCCAAATGTCTGCCAATTTGTGCATTAGCCCCACATTTTAGACTGCCTGTAACATGAAAGTGCAGCGCTTGTTATCTGACCGCTTGCTATCTTTAAAAGAACCCATTTTAGCAAGTTATCCATTTCTAGGTTTGCAACATTAGACAAGCCGTTCTTGTGTAGTAAACCTAGAAAACATAGTAAGCGGTCAGATAACAGGCGATGCACTGTGGAAGTAAAGTGAGGTATTTTTATTGAGAATTTGACTGTATTTTTTTATTCCCAACAGCGGTCGTAAATATTCCCATATAAACTCTTATAATTTCGCCATGACTGCTATTTCGCAAGATGATCATCTCACAGCTGGAGCTTGGGCTGCCTGTGGTTGGAGATTCCAAGGCATGTTCCTATACTTATCCAGTTTAAACTAGTCTCACGCAGTTGCTCGATCATTTCCTTTGTAATAATGTACGCCGGTCTCCCTCCTGAACTTGCAGAGAATGCCAATGGAATTTTTTCCTTTGGACAAAGGCATGATACATTTAAAATATCTGACGTCTTTCTTAATAAGACGACTAAAGACAATTCTAACAGCTCAAACAGGTTTGAAGAGGAATTTTGAGACAGTGATATGGCGATAAGCATTGTTGTGTATTCCTAAAGCTTCCTGGCACAGATTTCTAATCCTACATGAACAATGCGTGATAAACGAAAGTCCCTTTCAATGGTGCTCTTTAGAGAATCAACAAACTTTGTAAAGTATTCTGCACTAAGTTGCTCCGCCATTTTGAGAGAAATATTCCGCTTACTAGCTGTTGTTCACCGGCTCAGAAAAAGTAATCGATAATCTCGCATAGTGATTTCTTTTTCTCACGCAACAATTTCTCATTCTCAACAGTTAATATTTAATTCTCAGTATATTGCTACATCAGTCTTTTTCTCGATTAAGGTTTTATCATTCTCGATGGGTAATTTAAATTATTTTTTTTTTTAGAGGGCACGGTAACGAATCTTGCAATTTGATTGGTTCCTTACCCGGTCAGTATTTTCCTATCTCTGCCCACAGGCCACGGTAACGCTTTCGTGAGTCGCCAAGTACATCCCAACTTTCGTTGCCATTTTTCATAAACGTATCTCGTTTTTCCGGCTGGGCAGTATTTTTAAGCAAACACGTCGGTCACTAACTCAAGCCGATGAATAACCTATGAATCCTCTCTTTTCTCTCACTCAAATCACTTTGGTTGACAGAAAAATATTGGTTTCAGAATGAATTTGTATGAACAATAGTGTCATTACGTTGGTTGACAAGCGGCCTAAAACCCGTCTGCAATTAATTTTAATCGTTCACAAAAAGTACCTAGAAAGTTAAAACGTGAGCTATTTGGTTACAGTTAAACTGAACGATGGAACTTTCATTCATTTAATACCTGAATTTTCTCAAGCAATTTGTTCGCAGTGAAAGAGCGAGCGAAGTTTTAATTTAAGTTCTACAACAAATATACGCTCTCGGTGAGTCTTTCCAAGTCCGTTCTATCTGAACATTTGTACCGTAAATTGCACAACAGAAACTGAAGGAATTTTTTGAGAAAAGACCGCATTAAATCCCCTTGTGTCTTGTTGGAATGTGCCATTCGAATTTAGTTTTTGTGAAGGAAAGACCAGATTTACACACGCCATTGCAGCAAACAAACGAGCAAACTCTCACAACTTCAAAATAAAAAAATTGAATTTACTCACAATTACTTTCCTCGCCGTTCACTTAATAAACAGAGGTAAATCTTCGTACATGAATGAATCGTCGATGAGAGTGAATAATACTTTCCGTTAGATCATTGACTGTTTTTGAAGAAAACATTGTCGTGAAAGTCCTTGCCAAACTAGTTCCGTTGTTTTTCAAATGTTCTTACGCTTTTTTTACTTACGCGCTCTCTAATTGACAGGTGTCAGATTGTGACAGATACTTGTAAAAATAATGTTTCAAAGTTTGTTTGGAAGCCTTTTAAATTATCGTTACGGTAATGAAAATGTTTCGCTAAGGCATCTCTCTTGAATTTGCATCATCTCTATTTTAACTACCATTTACTCGCTCAAAAACTGTTCAGTTTATAGAAGATCTTGCCGTATTTACAGCCCTAAATCATTCGGGTTCTTTCGGAAAGAATTTCGTCAAGTTTCAAAAAAATAAATATGTTATTTACCGGCTAAGGGTCGGTCCTTATGGTGAAAAACTGTGACCTCGGTCTTGAAAATGCTGCCCTCGGCCTACGGCCTCGGGCAGTATTTTCAAGACCTCAGTTTTTCACGGACCTCCTAGCTGGCAAATAACATATATATATCGCATGACAGTTCTTCACTCTCATACAGTGATTTCTATTTCTGATGTAGTGGTGATGTAGGCTAATTTCAAATTGTTTTTAAGACATAGTCTGGTAACTAATTATTGGTACCAAGCTGAGGCTAAGGGGCGCTTATTTTGAAAGCAAGATCGGAGTGACTGTAAGTCGAATATGAAGTTTTGTGCCATTTCTGTGTGCAAAGGCGTACTAGACTCAGGTATCGTTTCTTCAGCCTCTTGCTCCTGTTGACTATCCGCTGCCAGAGTTTCTACTAGATCATCATCTTCGCGCTGTAATTTCGGTATCAGGTCACTGAGCCGCGAGAACTCGGATTTACTCAGTCCGGCCGATCAACATTAACTAACAGCTCTAAAAGCCACGCAATATTTGCAGCATGATTAAGGTTCTTGTTTCTCCATCTTCACGTCGTTGTACTAATTTTACTTTCAAACAAAATTTAAGGCCATGATCGGTATTTAAAGTTAACTTTCAAATATGTAGCTCTACTCTAAGCATGAAAGACGTTATTGTGGAATAGTGTAATGTTCATATTCAGTGTTTTCAAACCTGAAGAGCTCTCTTGTTCACGATCTCGATCTGTCTCGCCTTGCGGAACCTCCATAGCTAAAAAAAGAACATAAAGGAAAATATTATTTATCTTTCCCAAGTGCTTCAGTGATCACTTCATTTTCTTAATTTATCAAGTTAAACAAGCCACAATGCAAAGGAAAAAATCCACGCGCACCTTAATCTCAATTGACAATCTTATGTTCAATTTAAAGAATTAAGCTGCGGCTTAATTTAAATAGACGTAAGTATAGTAAGACGCCTAAAGGTGATTCCGTTGGATGCCTGGGAGCTACTAAGTGTAGCATTGAAAGAAATTGTGCAGTTACAGTGTACCATGATTAGTCACTTAGATCAGCCGAAGAAACCACTGTAGAAAATTTTAGTGTTGAAGAAACCGTGACTGTTTTTGTATTTGAAAATGGCGAAGAGTCGCAGCTCAAAAACCTTTTTCTGAAACAAACTGCCACTCCACCTCCTAATCTCCTCGTGTTTCTCAGCGCCTGTTTCATCCCTCCTAAAAGCAACAGCTCGGTAAAAACAGTTTCCATCCCCGCTTACAGACTTCTCTCCTTTGAGCCGTGATTTGTTTGTCAAAAACGTCAATAAGTACGAAAACAGGCCGTATACACTTTAATACAACTGAAAGACGGTACTAAGTTATTTCCTAGCGATTTGTAGTAAAGTTTGTGGTAAGAAAGAAATCGATTAAAACACCACAGCATGACAAATAAATTCAACTGTCTCCTCTATCTAATCAAAGAATCATGGCCAACTCGTGCATGATGAAACATGGTTGTGAACTTGTAGTAATAGGTCTTACTGCAAAGCAAGGTTGCTTTTATTTCAAAATCCAAGGTTCCGGAATATCACGAAGAGATCCACAATTATGGTAACCATCCAGGCGGTGTGCGCACTCCGATTGCTTTGCATTGCCGGGTAGCTTCGTTTTCAATATGGCGATGAAAGTGGCAGAAATCAGCAGATTTTGACTAAACATTCTGTAAAAGTTAGGCCGCTTCTTTTTCCTTTCACCATAGGTAAATATAACCTGATTTATTCTGAATGTGTAAAAGTATTTTTTGTACGTATTTGTCGCGTATTCTATGGTTCTCAAGTATGTAATTTGAGACCAGTTTTCGAGAAGGTCAAATTTGATGTACGTCGTAGTTTGGAGCCTTTCAAAGATTTGGATGGCCGCTTTGATCCTTCTTCAACAGCTCTGACTAAACGCTCTCAAACGGTACATGTGTTTCGCGCATTTTAAGTGCTAGTGTTTGAGACTGATTATGACCAAGAAAAAGCCTATTGTTGCGTTACACAGCGTTACTATTGTGTGCTCAATTGTGTCGTAAATCTACTTTTCCTAGGTAGAAGCAAATTAACTAATCGCTAATTACGGTAACTCTACTATCTTGATCATTGAATGAAGGACAGTTGAATTAGAGCGATGACAGAAGTCACTTGACCACTGAATAACTCTACAATGCACACGGCGACGCCGGGTTAGCCGGCAGGCAAAATGCAGTCGATCGTGAAAAGGTGTTAATAGACTTGTAAGACTCCTGTCATTCGCTTGCGCTTTTAAATCTTCTGCCTTGAAAACTTAGCTGTTATTAAGATATCTTTTAATGACTTTCCTTTGCAATGTGATAATAAGGGTTAGTTTTAAGGTGTAATTTCCCTGTCTGTATGTTCTTGAGGTTTGGCAAAGCCGAATGAGATTGTTACAAAAGGTAATATTTTTATGTGTACGTCCTATTTTCTTTGTTTTCAAGTGTACTGTCTCTACCGCGGAAGATAACTCCAGAGATACGGTTTTCAAAACCTTATTTTAAGTATTCTCTATTCTTTTAAGCATATTTGAAAATCTGTATGTTTTTTTATTAAACGTTGAGCGTGACGAACTTGGTCTTAGAGGGCGTAACTCTTCTCCTTTTGCGAATCCTGTATTTACGCCTTTTAGCAGAATGAGGTGAAAATATCCACCAGAAGATAGCAGACTAGCCCGCAGTTTTTTTCCGGTTAAGCTCTAACTAACAGCTCTGAAAGTCACGCAATATTTTCAGCACGATTAAGCTTCATGTTTCTCCATCCTCGTGTCGTTGTACTAATTTTACTTTCAAACAAAATTTAAGGTCATGATCAATAATCACAGTAAACTTGCAAATATGTAGTAACTCTACTCTAAGCATGAAAGATTGCATTGTAGAATAGTGCTAATGTTCATATTCAGTGTTTTCAAACCTGGAGAGCTGTCTTGTTCACGATCTTGATCTGTCTTGCCTTGAGGAACCTCCATAGCTTAAAAAAGAACATAGAAGAAAATATTATTTGTCTTCCCCGAGCGCTTCAGCGATCAGTTCATTTCCCAAACTTATTGGTTGAAGTTCAAATTAAACAAGCCACAATTCAAAAGAAAAAATTGGAGGTTTCTTTACAAACCTGAATCTCTAATGAACTTCATTCCGTGATAATTTAGGTCTTGTATGACAAACTTGAGTTCAAATTAAAGAATTTAGCTGCGGCTCAATTTGAATAGATGTTTAGTATAAAAAGGGAAAATAATTCCTAGCTGAAAGCGACCGGGGGCAAAGGGAATTTCTCTTCGTTAAGTGAAAATGAAAATAAACTCATAACTTGGATTTAACATAATCAGTATTCCAGAGACAGAAATAGGGATGCCCTCTCAATTGCGGTGATTTGGAAATTTTACTCAGCATCCTAAAATTGTATTTACCCGTTGCTATAGCAGTAAACATGGTGAAATATTTTTAAAACCGAGTTAATGCGTAAACGCTTCATTAAGATTCAATGCAACTGTATAGACGTTAAAATCAAATTACGAACGTCTACAGAATGTGAAACACACTTAGCTGCGTTAGACATGATTAACAGCCGATACGAGACAGATTAGAGCAGTAGATTTATGGGATCATGTGTACTAAAGGCACCCGCGGTCGAGTGTCGATCGATACCAGCGATCGACACTCGACCGACATATCGATCGAGTGTGGTTGACACGCGATCGACATGTCGGTCGAGTGTCGATAGACAGTCCATCGATATGTCGATCGACACATGGTCGACACTCGACCGAAAAGGGTCGATAGTCGGTCGAGTGGCGACCGACTCATGTGTCGGCCGGCAGCATCCTTATCGCGACAGCCAGTCGGCCGATAGACTGTCGACTCTCGGCCGATACTCTACCGACGCTCGACTGACTTGTATTAGTTTTCAACCTTTATACCTTTTTATCTTAATAGTTAATTATTGTATCTCTTAGTCTTACAAACCTCTTCTTGCCGGTCCGTTTTGTAAGTTACGGATCCTTGTTTTTCCCCCTTATGGCCTTGCACGCTTTGTGTTTCAGCCATAAATCAAATAAATCATGGTCTAATCACATCAAAGAACTATGCAGAAAGATATCCTCGGCAATAGGTGCTCTGAGGTGCATTAGGTCAGTACAAATATATAACGCTTTAATCCAACCTCATTTCGATTACTGTGCCCCTTTCGGGATGGATTGAGTTCTTATCTATGCGAGAAACTACAAAAATTGCAAAACCGAGCAGCTAGGGTTATTCTGCAAGCCAACTGTGAGGCAAACTCAAGCCTGCTTCTTGAATCTTTGAAGTGGGACCAGCTATCATTAAGAAGAAGAAAGCAGAAAGCTATAATAATGTTTAAATCCCTCAACGAGTTAGCCCCAGTGTATTTGCATGATTTATTCAGTGAGCAACGCACAGACTATGCCGACTTGCGTGATTCTTTCCGTAAGTTAAACTTACCCAAGCCGCGTACTGACTATTTGAAACATAGCTTTGGCTATAGCGGTGCCTTACTGTGGAATTCTCTTCCTGAGAATATTAGGGCGATTAGATCAATTGGGTAGTTTAAGAAGGAAATCAATCGCGCACTTGAAACATTCGATTCCCACTCGGCAATCTTGTAAATCAGTTTTTACAGTTATTTCAATTTTTTTACAAATGATTATAATTAAAATACTATTAGTATAACTGAAGATTCTTAGCCGAGTTCAAATAAAGATCTACTACTACTACTATTACTACTAAAGAGGAGACTGAAAAACTCAGTCCGTTCAGTACAGACTTCGAACTCGGTTAGTAAGAGGTATCTGGTAGTCGAGTGTGGTGAACCGATCATACCAATGACAGATAATAGTGCAAATTAGTGATAAGAAGCTAAAAGAGCGCACATTTTTAAAATATAATACAAACGTACTGCGTGCGTATTGTTCCTTATTTCGGACAAAATGTAATAAAATTTCCGGACGCGGCCGTTAATACACTGCGCATGTTTACGCGATTTAACACCGACTACTCTTATTTAGTATAAATCTACTAGCGTTCTATCACGATTGGCCATGCTACTCGCTATCTATTCGGTGACAGATAGTGAGTAGCGTTTGTTGACAAAATGGCGGCTGCTTCTTCGCGCTTTCAAATTGTCTACGGAAAGAATTTACACAATTTACTTCTTTAGTTTTGAACGATTAGTTTATACTAAAACAGTTAGATTATTTGCTCTCGGTTTCTATGCGCGATTGCTGATTCGGGCCGCGTGCTCATCAGCTATCACGCGATAGAAATCTCGAGCTCATAATGTAATTGTTAAATATAAAATCTGCAAAGCAAGTCGGTATTTAGTGATTTTTTAGTGATTTAGTGGGGGAGTGGGGGATAGGGGGTCAGAACTTCCCGCTTCCCGAACCTTTATCGTTTATCTCCCGACTCCCGCCTTTTTCAGTCCTGCTCCCGTCCCTTGTAAATTTAGAGACTCAAAACGCAGTTCTTAGGCATTTCCATTAATTTTAAACAATCTGTCCAAGATTAACACTGTCATATGGTCTCCGTTTAATGAAGTTTTGACTTACTAGTTTATCTTTTTTGTTTGAGAGTTTTACCATTTCAGTCCATTTTCACGTCACATTTGTTTCTGACATCCGTTTTAGTTTGCAGTTCTGAATCGTCCCGTGCTGTGATAAAGTTGGATAGTGACTAGATACGCGTTTCCAGCAACCAGTCCGGCATTTGTTGGGATCATGTAATTAAAATATGGAAATAGGATATGACGGACTTGACCAAACGTCCCAGGCATATTTCTGATATTCTTATTTATCGATTGGCAAATCTAAGTACATCTAAACGAAGTCTTCCATCTGCCGAGGTGGCCGCAGTGATTTCCTTCTGCTCCAAATGGTTGTTGACCTTAGCCGTTTCTACTAATTTTAAGGTGCTCTTTCCAGCAGTGTAGAGAGATTTTCGTCACATGGCCAATACTAAAAGTTAAAATAACCATGGAAAGGTCTATTTCATCAGATTCCATATCGCGTTCAAGTCAGGAGTCTGAAAGAATCTTGCAGAATGTTTCCTCAATAAGTTGCAACCGGCTATCAGTCTTCCACGTACAGACCTTTTACTGCCGCACCGAAAAATACTAACATGTACCATGATCTAGTAAAATGGTCTTTGACGACATAGAGTTGAGATACTTTTCTAACCAAGTCGGGCACTCAGACTTGCTTATAACACGCGACCCATGTGCACTCATGCCGTTTGACGTAACCACCGTAAAAGGGTTTACATTTTCACCGGAAGCAAGCCTGTTTTTCAGCCCAAGCGCGAATTTTCGTTTCCTCGATTGCTCAGAAGAAGCTAAATGCACGTCAAATAACATTTTGGGTTCTTGTTTTCGACAGCATTTTAACGAATTAATAACTGACAATAATTAGCGTTTTGCATTTCTCTCCCGCTTCCCACCCTCTTAGAACTCCCGCTTTCCGCCCTTTCCTCTCCCGCCTCCCGTACCCTTCCCGCGGCTCCCACCCCCCTTTCCCCCCCTCTCCCTTCCCACTATTCACGGGAAATTGACTATAATAAGAAAAGTTGATTGCACCTGTGTCTCCAAAGAGGTCCAAAATGTTGACCTATCTTATTTGCCAAAGTGTGCACCGTTTAGTTTTATATAAAATTAGAACATGTTTCAAATGTTAGGCTAAAGAGGTTCTTGTACAGAGGGGGTCTAATTACCAAATTTCAGCCTCACAGGTTCTTTAAAAGTAGGTTCTTACTTGTGGGTTTTTACTGTAAACCTACTCAAGTGTCTGCAACAATTACAAGCGTCTTATTAAATTTTCTTTTCAGCACCGTAAAATCAGTGGCCATTTAACATGAAAGGTCTATTTGAAGCTTCAGAATCTTCCTCACCGCTCCTTTCAAATTTCTTAACATTTTATTTTTTTGTGGTTCTTGGTATATCTTGCACCGTATTGCAGACTACACTAATCTCAAAGCGGATTCTGCTCAGCAATATCTTGCAAAAGACGCGGAAAACATCCATTTGGGTAAATATCACCATACCATCTCCTCCACATAAATTCATTTAAGGTATTCTATCAGGAAGTTAGGGTTTGTATTACCCTTCATTTTTTTGAACTTTTCTTTTGCTGTCGACCAATTACTTTCTGCGTGTTGCGTGTGTACCCCAGTGACCGGATCGATGAAATGCAAGGAGTGATTGACTGTTCTATGATTCAAACCCAGTTGTTCTCTGTATCTGGCCATATGCTGCCCACTGGTCGGTGTGCAAAATTGAACCCGGTTGTACTTGGCGTTGTATAATGCCCAAAAGAGTGGCTGCATTACGTCGACTTACGAGCTGTAGGTATGGGCGGGCTGGCACGTACTATGTATCGAACAAGCCAAGTACCCATTTCTCTCTTGCTCAGCTAGAACGATTTGAGACTTAAATAGAGTTATCATTATTATTAAAGACGTTGACAGCAAATTGTTTTTACTTTTTTGTATTTTCCGGAACAACATTTGCGACCGGCTTTTTAATGTCACTACAAAAAGAGTTTCTTTTTCTTCCTTGTAAAATGATAAAGATGAAAAGTTGAACCTCTCATGCTGGATTTTTCCCCCTGGCTCTCCTTCTTTTCGACGGAAATAATCGAAGGACAAATATCGACGCAGACGGGGGTTATCGCGTGATAGCCGCCCAACCACGTGACGTAAAGTAGCCAATAGTGTAACTCATAGGATTACGTGATAGTCACAAGAAGCTGCACTGTATTGCATTCGAATTACGATATTCGAAGGAAGTTAATGGACTGGAAAGAACTTAATTAGATTCACAATTTCACTGATACTTTCTGTTACACCTTATAGTGACAGGCCTGGATCTGGGAGGAATTCACGCCCGTTATGAAGTTGTTTTGAAGATAATGAAACAGAGAAAGTATTCCCTTGCCAAGGCTATGGAGAAATGTGGAGTGGCCAGAAATACGCTGAGGGGATTCCTCGGAATTTGTGAACTAAAAATCTTGGACAGAGATAAGTTCAACACGGTTGTTTCTACGGAGAGGGAGCGTTGTGGAAAGCCGTCGGTCAAAGACATCAAGCTACGTTGCCGAGCTGCCCTGTCAGAGTACAGGGCACACTC